TTGTCTAATATTTATAAGAGTTGTATAAACTGAATTACAACGATAAAATTATTTATTTGAAGTATATAAGTGACCCTTAGAACTTTAGTCAGCATTAAAATTAAAATCTCAATTATTTTCGATGTGCAAAAAAAAATTTGAGAAAAAAAATTTGGAAAAAAATATCTAGATTATTTTTTCAAAAGCAGTTATTTTGTCAAAACAAGAAGAAAGTTTTTTGAATCATTAAAATCGGATGCTTAGTTTTCTCAAAAACTGCCATTTTTTGCACATTTAGCTCGGTATCCCGAAACGGCTGGATACTGATTGCCAAAAATAACTGCCAAAAACTAATCACCACTTCTCCCCGTCATTACAAATTGAATGTTTTTTCGACCATTCAAATTTCTATTTTCGGCACTCTTTGCACCGTATCTCCGTAACTGCTGGACCTGCCTTTGCCAACAACTAATCAGCACATCTCCCTATTAATAGGAATCGAACGTTTTTTTAATTATTCAAATCGATTGAAACGTGCGCCCAAAATTGTGGACGAAAAACTGTATCCATATATACAAACACACACACGCACACGCGCGCGCACACACACATCATTCGGAAGTATGCCAAAATGTTCAGAAACCTTCAAAACGTGAAGTAATGTAAAAATTTTCAATTTCAAGTTTTTGACGATCACAATAACTTACCCTACGGGAAGTTAATAAATAAAAAAATAAATATCTACAAAGGTAACACTAAATATAACTTTGATCTGGTATTTTATCAGAAATATTTACCAACAGAGTTGGAATAATTTATTTAATTTATCGCTTTTTTAACTTTTTAATTTTAATTAATTAATTGTTTTTATAACTTAATTTATCATTTTTTAACGTTTACACCTTTGCTAAGTAAAGGTTGAGTTAGTTCTTTTTACCCTAACCACTTGTAAGCTTTTATAAAGGTTATATCTAAAACTGTTGAATTTAACCTAAAATTAACATAATAAACAATTAAATAGAATACCTAAAAATATAATTGAGATCTTATTAACTAAACATTAATGTTTACTGACAACAAAGCTAACAACTAACGGAAATACTTTTGCTATGGATTTTCAAACATTCCCGTTTTTCTCTCGATAGCAACGACGTAAGAAAATCTAGGTGATGGCTGGTTATATATCTTTTTCCCTCTACTTTCAAATATTGTTGTTAAAATGTTCTTAACTTTACTTGTTTTTGAGATATGCGGACCTTTAAGTTCCGCTCTACTCTACGTCTATTTCAATTCTTTATAAAATTAAATTAATATTATTGATACACCAGTGATGCATGGCATCGTGTCTTAAAGCAAATTGCTAGAACTTCCCGTACCACAATGAAATATTCGAACAAAAAAAATATTAATCCATAAATTTTGATCAATGATTAATTATAATTATTTTAAATGTTTTCAAATAAATAGATAATTATAATTACTATATATTTATTCGTTAATATAATATACATAGTGACTATCTTAACACTAAAACTCTTGAAAATGTTTACATTAAAAAGAAATGCCGAATGTATCCATCTGAGGATATATTTCATACATGTAGAATAACGCATATGAAATATATACAATTTCAAACTGAATTTTAAATTTAAAATTGATATTTAAAGTAACAAGTAAAGTAAAACCTTTTGAAAATTTTGAAAAAAAAAATCAGAAAATGTTGAAATTTGTTTGAACCGTATAAATGAACTTTAAAAATTAAAAATCTTGATACGAAACCCAAAAAAAAATTAACAAAATGTTATTATTAAAATATCTGATAATTTGTTGTGAATAGGTCTAATGATCATTTCGCCAAATATTTTTTTTTACATTTTCCTCTCTATCTCGAAACCGCTAGACCTGCCTAACCAAAAACTTAACCAATTCATCATTTTATCAATGAAAATAAAATGTTTTTTGAACCATACCAATTAGGTGCGCCGTTCCCTCCCTGGATCACCGTTTCTGGCACTTTTTGCCCCGTATCTTCGAAACCGCTAGACCTGTCTTTACCAAAAATTACCTAATCAGCCCGTATTGTCATCAATAGGAATGTTCTTTGAATCATTCAAATCGTGCGATTCGTGCGCCCAAAATCGTGGACGCAAAATTGTATCCAATCACACACACACAAACACATACATCCATTTATCCTAAGGTATGCCAAAATATTCAGAAACCTTTAAAACGTGAAGATATGCAAAAATATATCAATTAATTTTAATAGAATCGCTATATCACTTTGAGTTTGTCAAAACACTCAACAATAATAACTCCTTCGTAACATTATTAAAACAAACATTGTAAAACGGGAACGTGAGCTGTTTAAATTGCCATTAATGCTCGAATAAGTTACCGCGAATCGCTTCAAGATGTTTGGTTTATCATTTATTTCATTCGATTATATATGCTAAAATCAGACACGATTCAGACGCTAAATATTCAGATATGCGCGGCAGTTAAATTGATATTCTCCAAAACTTTGTAATTTCTTTTATTATCTTACACAGCGGCGTACCGCCTCGGGCTGCAGCATCGGGCGGAAGATATCTGGAAGCAAAAGGCGAAATGCGAAATGCAAAGAGAGCAAATTTATGAGATTTGTTCGACATTATACATTATTGTTTCTGACTTCTCAAACTTTAAGTTTTAAAATTTGTTTGCATAAAATTAATGATAATATTTGAATCTCTTAAAGAGGTCAAGTAGAATCTTTTGAAAGATATTCTTGGTAGCTTTGTGTTAAATGGCTGTTACGAGGTATATCCATAATGATGTATTATTAAAACAGCTAGTTGAAAAATTTATTTCGGGTTTTCAAATGAACAAGTAAGACAAGTTACTCAATTTGTATTAATATACAATCTTTAATCAGTTAGAAAATGCATATTTTTCTGTACCACATTTAGTTATTTTTGAAGTAAAACTTGTTAAGGCGCGACTAGGGTGCAAATCCATACAAATGCAACGGAAGTGAGGTACGGCAGATAAGAGTCGATAAGATTAGAGTCGATTTCTCTAAGGGTCGATTGTGGTCAGTCGTCGTGTATGCGAATAGAGATCTGTCGTTGTATGCGTGCCAGCCTCAACCTTGTATGCGTACCGAAACCAACGTTAGATCTTAGTACTTATCTTGATTTAATGAAAAATGCCTGAATCAAAAGAATATTATACCCTATTCCTGAAAATATTAATAAGATTTATGATTAGTAAGTTTATTGATTAGAAATTATTTCTATATTATTCGTAGTTTCTAAAAATCTTTGAAGTTATTAAAATGGCAAATATTTCTTAGGCAAAGCAGATGTTACAGCTGTTCCAAGAATGAGATTATGTCGCCATCGAAAAAGTAAAAAAAATACAAGCAGTCAATGAATGTATGTTAATTTTTATTACATGGAGTTCTTCAAACACAATTATTACATGATGAAGTTGCAAAAACAAAATTTGTTTAGGCGTTGTTCAAAATAATCCACTGTGTGAAAAAATATTAAAGAATTTATTAATCGGCAATTACTTCATTTCTCTAATGAAGATTAATTTCTAAATGATATCTACAATGACAAACCGATCATGTCATATTTTAAGTTTGACTTTAATTACATTATTGTTTTTAAATATTGTACATATTTTTAATGCTATTATAAATATATAATTTCTAATTTATCATTATATATATATATATATATATATATACATATATATATATGTGTTTATAATGGTTGACACTAATAAATGTATGCACCACCAGTTTTACCATATTACTAATAAACATTATTCAAAATTGTTATATGATCGCGTGTGATCCTTACGCGCACTCTTTTTTAACTTCCCAAATGAGTAGTTTGTTTCTATAAAAAATGCGATATGCCAATTTTATGGTTTCACGACATTTTATATCAAAACGTCGTGATCTCTGAATCGTTAAGAAAAGCTTTGAGTCATTTGAGCTTTTTTCGACATTTTCTCAAAAACTGCTACACCGATTTCAAAAATTTAAAAGCCATTCGACCTATACCGACGAATTAGGTTTTATTTTTTTTTTCAGATTTTAAGTTTTTGTTGATATTATAGCCAAAAATTCTGAATGAATCAATTTTAAAAATTCAATTAACGTTCGAAAAATGTAGTTTGTGGACCGTGCTAATTAGTTTTTGGTATAATAAAAATATAGTATAAATCGTTGAAAATATTTTTTTATTAAACTTTTTCGATGATAGAGATATCACCAGAGAACTTTGTAAAATATTACGGCACTAGATGTTTATTATTAACCATTTATTAACGTTTAAAAATATGCACATATCATTGTTATGACTTAAGTCAAAATTTGACCATTCGTCGGCGATACCCCAAGAATGGCGCAAAAGGTTTAAAAAAATTGAGCCATTGTATGTAACTAGAGAAGCATTCGAGTCAGACGATCGGTCGAACTTAATTCTTTATAATTAGTAGAAAAGCGCAAAAATTTTTATCCACGTTTTTGCAGAAAAAACGGAACTGATTTTAAAAATTCAAAAACTATTTGAAAGACATCATTTGGATATCGTAAAGTTTAGTGTTGGGCAAAGATCGCTCAACTCGTTTCTTTGTAATTAATTTTTCAAAAAAAAGTTTTGAAGATTTTAATGAAATCTTGTATGATACTTTCTGGTCTTAATGAGTATACTAAGTTATTAGAGGCCTACGACAAGTTTTATTATGAAAATTAATTAAAATGCGGATTAATCGGCCGCGCTTTTAGAAATTACTTTGTGTTATATTAATGTGCAATGTTGAAATCATTTGTCTGAAATAACTAACGTGTTCCAAAAATTTGTTTAAATTGAATAACTTGCAATAGTTTATCAAGTTATAATGCTCTACAACAATTTGGTATTTTATACTTATAAATCACTCATAAATTAACATATGGATTTTTTATTGATTTAGTCGCATTCCAGGAAGTTTGTTTCTACAAGTTATTTCTCTAATTTCAGCCAAGCCGTTTCCACCTCGGAATTGTTCGTTGGCACCTGGTAACCTGAGCGCCGTGCTGGAGGTGCAGTGCGTCGCCGGTTATGATGGTGGTTTGCCGCAACAATTCCTCCTCGAAGCCTATGATACGCGAACTATGCGTCTGCGACTCAACCTCACGAGCACATCTGAGGAACAGCCCATCTTCAGGCTAGATCTAACAGGTGGATAATGAATTTTACGAGTAAAAATAGAAGTATTACAACGTAATGCGTCATATCACGGTAATGTTCAATTCGATATTTATCTAGAGTTATTAAACCATTAATTCATCAAATCACTGTTTATGAACCATCCATGAAAAGGACGAGGGCAAGCGCCAAAAATTAGTTTCGGGTTTGATTTCAAACTCCGAAATGTTGATATCTAGCAGTATGATATAAACTTTCTATTTGGCGTTATAAATCTCATAAATTATTTCAAGTGAATATTGTCTTTGCTGCAATACATACAAACCGACGCCATTAATTATAGAATAGAGAGGAGCCTAAAGATCCACGGATAAGAAGGTCCACCACCAATATCTAAAAAACGGTTAATGTCGGGAATTTTTTTAACTATATTTGAAAGTAGAGATTGGCTCAAATTGGGCGACTTAGTTATCACGAGATAAACGGCCACAAAACAAAAGTTTTTGTAACAAAAGTTTGTTTTTTGTTGTTGGTCTTTAGTTTTTGAGCACCTTTGTTTAGTTTGAGATGAATATGAGTTTAAGGAATACTCTATTTGATGTGTTTTAAAATTTATTATTGTTTTTAAGTTAGATTCAAGAATTTTATTTCTATAACCTTATAATAACTTATGAAGTGAAAGGGACCACCTAAACCTTTATGATGGCAAAGCGTAGATAATAAGAAACTAGTAATTAAAAATGTTAAATTATTTAAAAAGCAATTTTGCAAAAAATAAGTTAAATTAATAATTATTCCAACTCTGAATTAATAATGAACAATGAATTGATAATGAAGAATGAACTCTTGACGAAGGTCCAAATGAAGGTTGTATCCAGTGCGATATTATAAAAAATATACTATAAAATATACATTTCAAACAGAAGTTATATTCACTTTATTTGTAATAACTGTATTTAATATACAATGAAAATGATTATGATAAATTAAACAGGAATACCTACCAAATCAAGATTTATGATGTTTGATTGATTTGATTTTTGAAGGACCAATTTTTTGTAAAACACTTTAATTATAATCTTATGTGTTTATTTTAAATTAATTTTAAATTGTACTTATATTTACAATATTTTTAAGGTTTGTAGGTATTGTATTGATTGACTTTATTTTATGATAATTTTGGATTGATTCTTATTTGTATCATAAATCGCACGCTTTGATTTGGCGCGAACATACTACCGGCCTTGAAATATAGATTTCAAAATAATTGATATTTTTCAATATGGCAGCTTATATCTACAATTTTTAAATCAGAAGTAGATGTTTTTGATAAAAATTAAACTGCATCACATTGATTAAATAATGTAACTATTATTACATAAAGCCTCTTACAAATGAAAAATTAATTTGTGCATTTTTTTGCTCCCTGGAAGTTTCCTTTTACCCCGCCTATAGTGGCCTAGAGGCCTATACCTACCTATAAATCGCAAGGCAACTGATTTTTATCAAAAATGTAGCAAGAAAAATTGAAAAATCGTTTTTGAACTAATAAACTTTATTGAATAATTATAGATAATATTTATTTTTTATTCAATATGCGGTGCATTTAGTATGAAATACATATTATTGGTACATATTGCTCAATAAACAGTGTTCGCTTGGCTCGTTACCTACGCAAAGTCTGCAAAACCTAAAATCCGTACGGCAAATTAGGCACATTACAAATATAATATTATTTACTCGACAGAATTGCTGCCAGGGTCTTCGTCTGGGCCGTCGCCCACGTTGCACATCGCCGTCTTCGCGCAGAATCAAAAGGGACGAAGCGAACTCACGCTGTTGGAAAACATCGCTTTGGACGACGCAGAAAAGATAACAGGTACGTGTTTTGCCTTCTGTGAAATTGGATCTTGATTATATACCTTATGCTTATTGGTTTTTGTGGAATTTATATTTCTTTACTATCTTTGACTCGCGTTCTCCACCTATCGCCGTTTCTCCATCGAGCGCGCGGATGGAGGAAATTATCATCGACGTGCGTGAGATGAGCGCCGGCGAGAAAACTTCCAAGCACGTTTGATCATTTTCTAAAACAAATTATAATAAAATGATAATTTAAAAGTTTTCAACAATAATTTCAAGTTTGTTTCGGTTTAAGTAAGTTTACTGGTTCGTTCAGTTGAATATTAAGGGTTGTTAGTTGAACCGTGGTAGGAACTTCGTTAATTTTGTCATTTGGACTACAATTACAGTACAAAATAAATAATTTATTTATTATATGTATATATATATATAATACTGGCAAACATTGTTTAGTCTAGAAAATGGAAAATGTTTAGTACACAATTTTTTATTTCTCTGTATATACATTTTTCTGAAATAATTAAAAGGGGCAACTAAAGCAAATTAAATTGATGTTTTACCATTTCCTGAAGCATCTTAATAGTCCTTGCAAGTCTGAAACTGATTTCGTTTAACACTAAATCTACAGACAATTCTTGTATACCTAAAAGACCAAATCGACCTATTAGTAAAAAATTATTTATTATATTAATTATTTCAAGTAATGATTGATTTATTGTTTAATGTGTATAATATTTAAAGAAAATGTAGTTGTAACTAAATTATTTTATATAATTTCTAATACAAATTATAAGAAAAAAACAAATAATAATTAAATATTTATACAGATTTCCATATGCATACGTATTTATACTTTAGTTGGTTTCTTCACATCGTTAACAAATTAATTTAGTCTTAAATTTACTTTTGGACTTTTGATTTTCTTGAGATTTTGAATATGCATCGCCGATTTGAGAAATTAATTAAAACAAAAATTCGAGACTAAAAGTGCTTTTAGTAGTCGTGTCTCTAAACATAACTTACGCAATTATCCAGCTAGATTCAAAATGTTGAAATATACCTAAAAGTAGGCACCTAAATATTTTTGACTTCATGTTACATTTCTTAGTCATCTGTCTATCACATTTTCACCAAACAATGTATTAATACAAAATATAATAGTTGTCGGTACACTTTTGGCTTCTTTTCCCTATTTCTATTGGATAATTTTTGAAACTTGGGACAAGCATTTTTCAGTTTACTAAATTTTGTTGAGATGTACCTAATGTTGGCACATACAAATTTTTGACTTCATGTTACATTTTTGAGTTATCTGTCTATCACATTTTTACCAAACAATGAATTAATACAAAATCGTTTTTCGGAACACTTTTGCTTCTTTCTTCTATTTCTATTGGGTAATGTTTAAAACTTGAGACAAGCAATTTTCGGTTTACTAAATTTTGATTTATACAAAATGCTTCGAAATGTATGACTGAATTTATCAGTTCTAGAACAAACATTCCAATTTAAGAATTGGACAATCTCTCCTCTTATTATTTCCGAAATAGGTAAATCCATTTATTATACAACTATTAACTTAATTCAGAACTTTTAAAATAAATAACATTATTGCCGAAATTGACTAACAGCGATAGTTAGGCCACATAACAATTTGTTTCGGAAAAAGATAAAATAACTTGAATCAAAGAGTGAACAAAATACTATTAGTATATTCTAATAATTTTTATATAGACTAATAATGGTATTAATTTTAAAAATGTTTAAGTTATACACAACGTTTGAAACGGTCAATTTGACCGGTGTTGGTAGGTTTGGTTTTAAATTGAATTGAATCAATTACAACTCGTTCTTAAAATAAGCCAATTGCTTGTTTCTGAGAAGCAGAAAAACTGTTTTAAATTTTCAATATCATCAGAAACAAGTACGATTACGATTCCAATGATATTGTATTCTCGTTGCAAAGTAGAAACTAGTCACTTTACGCAATTAGTAAGCAGGTATTATACGTACGATAGATGAGAAAACGTTGCAAATATTATGCTTATTAGAAAATTTTAGGCGTGAGTACATTTATAATTG